CGTTAAATATCGCATGCGATTTATCGTGCAGCCCTAATTTCAAATATGAATATATCAACTTTTCAGTACATCTAAATGTCAGAAATTATAATATATAAATGTTATGCTGTATAATTTACAATTTGTACGATTTGTGACAAATACATCTTCACGTTCCCATCACTGTACTTTGTACAAAATAGTTGGTTGGTCATCCTTGTACCAAAGGAGAAAAATGCACATGTTAATATTTAATGTCAAGGCATTATTAGGTAAACTGCCAACTTATATTTGTAATCTTTTATCATATTATACTTGTAATTATAGCACTAGAAACTCTTACAAATTACATTTGACTGTTCCTAGAGTACGCTCTGAATTTGGCAAAACTGCCTTTTCCTCCTATGGTCCTAGGCTATGGAATGAAATGCAGAGTGTTATGATGTTAGAAACAATTCCATCTCTAAATATTTTTAGAAATCTTTTGGAGTTCTACCTGGAAGAAACTTGTGAATGTTTTATGTAATTTTTAATATGATGTTGGATGATATTTTTTTATTTTATTTGTTTTGTTTTATGTGTGTCTAATCTGTATGTGAAACTTTCTGTGCTGCCATTTTGGCCAGGACTCCCTGGTAGAAGAGATTTATATCTCAATGGGATAATTCCTGGTAAAATAAAGGATAATAAATAATGCAAAATCTCAAACATCTTAAGGCTAAAAGTAGCTCATAACTCGCCGATTTAGGAGAAAATCTTAAAAATAGTGGGCGTGTCAATCCTAAATTTAGGACTCTTACATTTTTGCTCTAAGACTATTTCACAAAGCGTTTTAGCACTAAAACGAGCTCCTAAATCTGTGAAACGTTAGGAGTAGTGAAGAGGACTCCTACGTCACTAAAACCAAGCCACAAAACTATCCTAAAATGTCTGTTGCTGGCAATCTGCCTGAACGTAAATATTTTAGAAACATTTGATGATAATGATCTTTTAAAGAGGTATCACCTTTGGTTTTGGAGGTTATCCCAACTCCTAATTTTCCTTTGATTATATCCTTGTTTTCATTAACCAGCTGGGCAAGTAGTAACAGCTGTTCTTGCATCCAGGTTTTTTTTTTTTTTTTACGTTTGCATGTCTTACTATCAGCCATGATTATTCTACTCTGTTAATTAAAAGGCTGTTTATGTGTATATTCGTGCAACATAATATCAAGCTCTTCAATATTTCTATGAATAAATCTCTGACAGAGACTATAAGCCAATCACTGTGTGCATAGTTAGTAAGTATGCTGACATCATCCATAGCAACAAGGTCAACCCCGCCCCCTTACTCTTAGCTGAAGACTTCTGTAAATTTGTCTCAGCAGCTTTGTGAATAGGTTTTACAGTTTTTCTCAGTCGCTTTGGTGCATTTCTCAAATCATCCTTAATATTCGCAAAAAGGTATGTGCATTTCTCAAAACAATTCGTACAAACAGCACCACACAATGGATTACCTGCAAAAGCCTGTAACTTACCCAAAATCTTTAGTTCATCTCTCAAAAGTAAGTATTTATGTCAATGAACATATCAGTGCC